TGCAAACTAAATACAAAAATATTGACTATTTTCTTCCAAAATATTAGTTCCAGAAAATATCCATATCATGTAAGTGCGAAGCCTGATGAGGAAAAAAAGTAAAGAGGACGAGTTTGGCAGAATTAAGTTCAGCTCATCGCCGTTCGTAAGCAAAATGTCAGCTTGTACAAACCAGTTACGTTAAACGAATTAATTTTTTCTTGTTTGCCATATAATAAACATCTTATTAACCGAGCTTAGTCTATCTGTATGTGAGAATCTTGACCTCGGTCGTGTGTACGGACCTCACTGCGTTCGGTCTGTACTCCCGACCTCGGTTAAGATTCTCCCGTACAGACCTCCTGCTCGGTTAATAAGAGCTAAATTTAACACCTAAAAGAAATACATAATATAACGAAGACACTTTGCATAAATGGCGCCAAGTTTTAGCGATACTTTATACATCCCAAGCTAGCCTCATATTCATGGGAAAAATCCTTTGTCTGGAAACACAAACAGGAGGCTTAGAATGTGTAAAGTATTGTTATTCATCAAAGTTAGGCGCCACTTATGCAAAGTGTCTATCGCATATGGCCCTTTTAACTGTCTTTCCATCATCTTCCCCAGGTGGTCTAATGGGAACGATGTTCCTTATAGTTTTTTCTTTTTTTCTTTGCTTAGGTCACACACGATTTCGCAACAGAGTATCCGGATATTCGACAAACAAAACACAACTTAATTTGAGAATGGCACTTGTTTTGTTACCGGCCACGTTGATATGATGTCTCCTTTTGAATTGCGTCGTAGGTTTACACATTTAACAAGAAACCCACGCATGGCCTGAAAATTCGAGAGGGGCAGGAGGCTCTTAATGAGATGAGAAAACACACCCCATACCCCAATCCCCTCACCAAACTAAAAATAAATAAATAAGTAAAATTGCCTGACTGGTAAAGCACGAGAAAATGGGATGAAAATATAGTTACAGAAAATCGCAGAAACACTGAAGGAAAAAAAACACAAGCAGACAAAAGCGTTCTAAAAGCGAAAGTAATTTGGATTAGTGCAATACCAGTTGCCCTGACTTAAGATTTATTACCCAGATAATAATCGTCGCCCCCCAACCTCCCCCCTCCCCCATCATGTCCCTCGTCGATATCACAAGATATAACATAACACTTCGTTTTTTCCAAGTGTTTGGCAATGTATATAGAGAGTAAAATCTTGGTTCCTCGAATAGTGTTAATTATTTAACGTGCTCACTTGACTACTAGAACGCTCAT